GTAAACTTAGACCAGTGAACTTCTATAAAAGGTTTTACAATGATTTTGTCTGTAGTGTCGTCCCTTCGATAAACAGTCAAGATCAAAAAAGATTTTCATCAACCTCATCATATTTATAGCTGGACAAAATATTGCGAAAATCCGATAACTTTGAATTATTGACTAAAATACCTAGTAGTCTACTTAGGTTTTCTTTTACGAAATGATAAAAAATATTTTACGAAGACGCCACATGCCTAGTAATTCACAATGGGAAGTTCAGTGATGTTTTCGGAGTGAGGACAGGAGTGAAACAAGGCTGCCTACTATCACCCATGATATTCATGTTTGTGGTCGACTGGACCATGCAACAAACAGTGTGGAGCGAGAAGAGGGAGATGCGCTGGACCGCGGAAAAGAACCTAGAAGATTTGGACTTCGCCAATGATGACTTGTGTCTAATGTCACACAAACTCGAAGATCTACAGGCGAAAAGCAATGAGTTGGCAGAAGAGGTGAGGTGAGGCGAGACAGCGAAGACGGGACTTCAAGTGAAGTGAGTGTAGAGAAGACAGAGGTGATGAAGATACCCAACCGACAACAACAACAAGCACCAATCACCATCAAGTGGAGAAGTCTAGAGGAAGTTGCCCCTTTCACCTACACCTACCTAAGCAGCATCGTTTCAACTACAGGTGGCACAGGCACAGATGAGCATATCAAAACCAGGATTGGAAAAACAGCATAACAGGCCTTCATCAATCTGAAATTAGTGTCGAGATCTACTGCACTCAGCATAACGCATGAACAACATCCTGATTTTCAACACTAATCTCATTCAAGTAAGTCAATACTTCCATGTGATGGTTGACAGACTTGGCGCGTTATGAAAGGCATTTCCAACAAACAGCAGACACACATCACATCAACAGCTCTTGCCGACACTCACTCAATACTGAAGGTTGATCAAATGATCAGAATAAAAAGAATAAGCAACAAGTAACTGTGGCTGTCTGACTGGCAATGAACCCACCAACAAATATGCAGAGGAGGAAAGTGGAGATGGATTGGATTGGTTTAGGGGGAGCAAGTGCAGTTGAGGTATTTGAGTAGAACCAAAATGGGGAACGATGAGTTGTTCATCTGTGTCGAGGGTGACATGGAGTAGATGGTGTGAGGAAGGAATGGAAGTTTGTGGACAGTGGTGGAGGTAGGTTGAGGAGACTGTGGAGAAGATAGTGAAATGGTGACATGCTACTGAATCCCTGTGTTCCACTAGGAACTCAAACGACAAACAGTAATAACAATAATAATATATAATATGATACAGTGGATGGAAATGCAGTGAATTTGTCTTGTATTATTTAGCCGGTAATCTCACAGATGTCAAAGATGATATAAGTTAACAAATCAGCATCAGAAATAACTTTGGTATTCATAAGCCTCTCATTATTAAATAATTTTTATGCGGAATTCTCAATTGTATACTCTTAAAATAAAATTAATTTATAGAATTTTTTTCAAGTTTTCAGAATATGTTCAAAATAAGTCTGATCATTGTTGATGAACTTTTAAGGTTACCGAAAAATTACAAAATCGAAAATTTATTTTATTTCACTAAATTCAATATTTAAAATATTATTTGACAACAGATAAATTGTATATGAAATGAAATTTTAAACACTTTTGTCTTAAATGATTATAGCGACATGGTAAACGGTTTATAATGTCAGTCAAACTAATCTTATGTATACACAGCTGTTTCGTCCTAGTATAGGGCTCCTCAACAGTACGCACCAACGACCTGGCTAGGATTGAACTCATGACCTTCAGGTTTCACGGCGAACACGTTAACCATTCAGTCACTTTGTCGGTTTTCAGTGGTTCACAATTTCCAACTCCTGTCAATTCACGACATAGAGCGACTATCACCTAAGGTCTTCAGTTAGCATCCACTTCACTTCTGACTGGTTGACTCCACAGGTCACAACTTCTCATTGAAGCTTCGTGGGTGCGTACTGTTGAGGAGTTCTATACTGGGATGAAACAGCTGTCCAGTGCCCCTAGATTTTCAATGGTTCCCCAATTGATATCAGTTCATGATGAATACTACCTGCGAATATTTTATACTTTAAGGTTTTGTGGGGGGAGTATTAGTTAATTTCAAAAGAAGTTTTCATCACACGGGTTGATTGATGCGTTTGTGAACCTTAATTGATTGAGATAGCTTGGACAGGTACTGTGCATGCCTGGGCGAGCCATGGCCTACTTCGACGTGCTATTCTAAGGAGAAGTTCAGTAAATATTGGAAGAGGATTTACTGTGGCCAGATCAAGATGTGGTACCAATCCATGAACCATGTGAGATGTGGGCTACCTGACTGGGGTATCTGAGACTATATGAAACACTGGTTGAGTAGTCTTAGTGACATGGCTGGAAATCGATCACAACGGTGCAGATATATTCACTACTTAACATCTTCTAAAGCTGGAATATTTCCACTAAGCTTCATCTTCAGGTTGTTTATTCACTCACACAACTATGTCTACATTGTTATCACTCATTTTCTATTAGCTTTTTCTTTGTATACTAATGTGAAGTGTGGCAACTTGAGGTGATCGACTTGTGCTCGAAGTTCAACGTTGATTTTATCTATCTGTCGGTACTCATTATGCATTGATATCAGCCACAGCTTTGTTGTGAACTGAAAATCATTAAACGGCTGTTCAATCTTAATTTCTTATAAAATTTCAAACATAACCGTGATCTATTAATGATGGATAATGGCTAGCAGTGGAATCCAGGATATGCATTTCTTCCTATTTAAGGCTCGTCAGTTGAATGTGCTTGCTTCCCATGAGCGATGTTGTTCCCACCAGAACTCGAACTCAGGACGATTCTCTTCAAACGCCACGGCGTTATCCACTATTTGAATCACGATCTGTTATTTGTCAGTAACTTGCTTCGAGATAGATTTCCTTAAGTTCTGATGACAAGCTGTGACCTGTGAGATCCACTAGGTCGTACAGAAATGCTTGCTCATGTCACTTGATGCTGATGATGACCTCAGTGTATGAGGAAGTGAAGAAAGTTGGAAAACCTGAATCAATACACTTGAACCTTATGGCTGAGTAGTAGTTTGTTAGTTACGAAACCAAGAGTTCTTAGTTTTCATCCTACATGGATCTCAAACTAGGATGAAATAGATGTCTAGTGCTCCAAGTCTTACAAACCGTGATGAAGATCCACTTGGGATAGTTAACTACCTAAACTGTAGGTATTCGTACACTTCAGAGTAGTTTTCATCATGAACTAACATGAGAAGCTTTGACCTGTTACTTCAAACAAGCTGAAAGAGGATAGATGATAAACTGCCCACTACAAAATTGTAGATATTTAAGCGTTAGCAGAAAAAGATTGATGTAGTACAAGTCCTGTAAAATTCATCTGAAATCTATATGGAAATAGGAATCACATGCACATTTGTGTAGTAGATAATGAGCCGAATCTAATGTGTGAAGGTTAACGATATTATCTGGCTATCCATACCTCGGTAGATGAGAGGAGGTTTCAAACCCGTCAATCAGTTTCATTATGATTGTTTAACATGAATCATTCGGCTTCAACAACAAGTGTTTTAGCCTTTTTATTCACTTAAGATCAGATGAAATGATTTGAATATGGCGCGATCATATTTTCGGGTTGGGATTCATTATGGACTGACATCATTTGGAGAATACCAATCCATAAATAACTCCTCACAAACCTCAAAACTGAATTAATCTAGTGCTATTTGGTATTAGATTCGAGAGGTGATTCTCAAAGTTCTAGTGAGTAGTCGTGACCGGTGGGGCTAACCAAGTTGGATATAACGACAGGCACTTGGTGACAGTATTGGATGGAGGTCACGCTATATCGTGAACTTACAGAAGCTGAAAATATGGCCACTGGATTCCGACCCAGTGGCTCTATGGTAACGTGCTGGTCGCAAAACCTGAAGGAGCTGGGTTCGACCCCCGACGTGGTGGGGTCATAGGCGCTCACAGCTGAGGAGTCCCATGCTAGAACGAAACAGCTGTTCAGTGCACCCACGTTTCTAATATTTCTCCTATACATGTCAGACCATGATGAATATCAATCTGAAATCAATAAATTCCTACAAACCTCCATACTGGATCATAATTTCGACAAAGTTTAGTAATATTTTTTAATTATCAACAGACAAGCTGATTCGTATCAAATCACAGTCAACCTCACAATTTACTAACTTTTTTCACTTGACTTTTGTTTTTCGAATACTCAAAATGCCTATGAAAAAGCAGTTTGTGTAAGTTGTCACTTCCTAGCAGAGCTGCATATATCCATCAAAAAGGAGGCGTTGTTCAACTATATTAGTTCCTAGTCAAATCTTCTTATCAATAACAAACATGATAATTTTAGATTTCAGCTGTTTTGAAAAAATTCTATTCAAAATTTTTCTAACATAATCTATCACTCACTTCATCCCCTATACCAAACCGATAGTCGGTTCAACACGAAAACTAAACCCAATAAATGATGACCAACTTCTCAAGGCCATATATTACATCAAGTTCATCTAAGTTATGAACAATGGAAATTTACAACAAATAGTTACTATTATTTATTGATACCTGTAATTCCCTATTGTTATTCTGGCTCGAACTGATCAACCGCTATCAGCATACAGGCCCTATTCAGATCCCTCAGTATTGCCTGATTATTCATCATCTTGTGATTGGCTTGTTGATGGCTAGCAATGGAACCCACAACAGACTTTCGTCCAACTTGGGTCTCGTCACCTGAACATATCAACATCCGAATAAGCGGTAATATTCCAGCGGGACTCGAACTCTATACTCATCGCTTTTAACGCCAAAGCACTATCCACTAGGCCACTAGGGTATCACAATCACCTCTTGTGCAAAGTATTATAAGTAGTTAAGTTTTTAAAAAAAACATGTATACATATATAATCAAACACTCAATCAGTCATTACTCACCGGATGTAGATTTTAACCCAATCGATCTTTCAAAACTAGATGCTTTAAATTGGTATATATTGATTGGTTTCTGTGAATAATTAGTTCCAACAGGAGCACTTTTATGCTCAGATAATGAATGTTGTTGTATTTCATCGATTCTTGAATTATTTGTTGAATTGGATACATCATGACTATATTCACTCTGTTGATGAACATTTAAAACTGTACATGGTGTTGTCGGAGAAATTGTTGTTGTTGATGATAATGACAAAGATGACTGTGATGATGTTGAGGTACTCAGTGGTTTTTGTGTTAATTTATTAATTTTTATAGCAGATGAATTATTATTGTTAGTAATGTTGCCACTTCGATTAGTTGTTTGACAATTATTCGTGTTTTCATTATCATAAACTTTATCTTTATGTTTTTGTGTTGATTTTTGGTTTATTTTCAAATTTACTGGATGATTTGCCCGTGGAATCGACTGACGAATACTGACCTGTTGTTGTTGCGATTTACCACTATTACAAGTGGAATTCAATGAAGACGACGATGAAGGAGAATTGAATGATGTAGATATTTGAACAGATGAAGGGAAACGTAAAGAAGCAACACTGAAATACAAAATAAATTATTCAGTTAAATTCTAGAATTTGATAAAATATATTCTTTAGAGCAGAAAACTGTGAAGTGATTTTATCCATTCTATTTCTCTCTTCATTCCTATTGGAATAATTGAGAGTTATCTGTTTGTGGGCGTGTCAGTCCAAAAATTTAACGAGTATTTTGATCAATAAAAGATTACTAGCTGTTCATTGGTCAGTTAGTTCTGACCATTGTGATTGGTTTAAATTTACCATTATAGATAAAATTTTTAGTCTACTCTACAATATAAAGAATAAAAGGTGTAATGAAGCATAGATTGTTAGTTTTTAAGAAAATAAATTAAAATGGTACTTTCTTACCAGTTAAAGCATAGATCCACAAAGTGTGTAATCTTATAGTCTAAAGCCGATGAGAAGAAAACAAGTGTAAATATCCACGCACAACCGCCTCCAAATCGGATCCCAAAATCAAACTCTGTTCATGGAACACAATAAGCTAAGATAATGAAGATTGCGACACCAGTAGTTAAGATTTTAATCTTCACGCATGTGCTTAATCGAGAAAACGTTTTCTGAAAAATTCTTGATGACGTATTTGTGAAGAATAAGCAAGATTGTTTTAGAGGAAATCGTTATCAGATGGATAAGATGCGGATAAATAGCACCACTTAGATAGGTGTACTGTAGATGAATACAATATCTTAAGGATTTTACTCCAAATTTCCCCTCAGCTCTATGTTCTAGTCCACATTATTGATCGATATGAGCTTTGCTTCTAAGATCCTGAAAGGTCGGTTCCCTCATCATGCAAGAAAACATACATTGATAACCCATCCATATGTAAAAAACGAACACTGTTGCTAGAGCATTCAGTTATCACCCCCTTAGAAGTGGCCGGTGTGATTCCAAAACCCTCCAAAATGTCAGGATTCAACGCATCCAAATTCTCTGCGTAGTCAGTTTGTTGACCGTACTCACCTTCCCGTGGGCAGACATGCATGGGATGTATCACTGAATCTCAACAGTCTTGCAGATTAGATTCAACTCGTCTTCTCGAAGAGACTATTCCATCTCACAATACTGAATCACAGTGGAGACTCTCTTGGGGCCACTGATAAACAGTCAAAATTGGAGCTAACGACTGAATGTCGTTCACCTTCGAAAGATAAACCATACCTGGCCTGAACAACTTTAACAACAGTAACCATAGGAACTAGGAAGCTGAATTCCCTTACCTTTAAGTTGGACTGCTCTCAGCGCACTGGCCGGAATCCTGAGGGCTAGCTAGATCATCTGCATCCTGCAGACCAAATCACTTATCTGCGAACATGGGTCTCGTCGACTATGTTTACCGCTTAGTCAACTTGACGGTGTATCGGTTGGTATCCAGTGGGGCCATATGGAGGCTCACTGTAGTAAAGTAACTAGGCTGAAGTCATCATTACCGGTATACAAGCTCAAAACCACTTAACCTCACATTGATGCACTGGCACGTAACTATGACGTCGACCTTGAAAACCTCAAGAAAGTCATAGTTACTCACGAACTAGAAATTCAGAAATATCATCATGTGTAAAATGCTCCAGAAATCATCGAAATAAGATTCCGCATGAAACCAGTGACCAAACCAACAAGCCTCACAACAAGATATTAAATCTGCTTAACGCTACTGTGAAAGAGGTAAACAATCTCTACTGTCATGTTTCAGGGAGCAGGAATAAGGAATTATTGAGTATTTTTCATCAGAAAATATATATTGTAGACTAGCTGGGTCACAAAAAACCTTCAGTGTTTATTTATTTGAGATAACTTGTTATTTAAGTTTACAATTTACAACATTCTCTAAATAATTTTATACGTGCTGAGATCGACAGTACTGAATTCTCTCGGTCATCTACTCGAAGTAGCTGTATACGAATAACTAATTCCTTGGATAGGTAGATGATACAGACTTTGGGGCCGGTTTGCATAACCTTTATATATGGCAGTGTTTTCTACCAAATATATTACTTTTCCCTTCCAAGAACCTGAATTTACCATCTGTTACCCCATGAATCACGTTGTTGTCCATGAAGTTTGGTTATTATTATTATTTATCCCTTGGATTCCTAATAGGAACATAGGGCTTCAGTAGCTCGTCTCCAGCGCACTCTGTTCTCTGAAAACTTTTGAACCTGGCCCCACGATAGCCCAGAAGCTCTCATTTCTTCCTCGCACTACCTCCTCCATGTCACCATCGCCTTGGACGCCTAACTGGTCGCTTCCCATCTGGGTTCCACTCGAGTGCCTGGCCTGGAGCTTAATGTCCCCAGTCGGCCTTCTCAGTGAATGCCTAATCCCTCTTCACTTCCTTCTGCATATTTCTCGGGTGATACCTTCTTGGTTAGTTCGTTCCCAGAGTTCCTTCTGCCTCATTCTTATTATTCTGGCTATCTGATCTTCAGTATCGAGCCAGCGTAGGTGGTTGTTGATGAATATCTATAGTTTATTGGAAATCCCTTTCATAACGCTCCAAGTTTCTGAGCCATATAGAAGCACTGACTTGACGTTGGTGTTGAAAATCCGATCTTGTTCCACATGATGAGTGCAGAAGATCTCCATACTGGTTCCAGGTTAGTGAACGCCTGTCTTGCTTTTCCGATCCTGGCTGCTGTGACGTCCTCATCTGTGCCGCCTGTATTTGAAACAGTGTTGCCTAGATAAATGAAAGAGGCAACTTCCTCTAGACTTCTCCACTTGGTGGTGATTGGTGCTTGTTATTGTTGTCGGTTGGGTATCTTCATCACCTCTGTCTTCTCTACACTCACTTCACTTGAAGTCCCGTCTTCGCTGTCTCGCCTCCCTCTTTTGTCAACTCGTTGCTTTTCGCCTGTAGATCTTCGAGTTTGTGTGACATTAGACACAAGTCATCATTGGCGAAGTCCAAATCTTCTAGGTTCTTTTCCGCGGTCCAGCGTATCTCCCTCTTCTCGCTCCTCACTGTTTGTTGCATGATCCGGTCGACCACAATCACGAATATCATGGGTGATAGTAGGCAGCCTTGTTTTACTCCTGTCCTCACTCCAAAGGCATCACTGAGCTTTCTATTGTGAATCACTTGGCATGTGGCATCTTCATATAGGTGTTGAATGAGTTTGATAAAGACTAGTGGTACTCCGTAGTGTTGAAGTAGCTGTCTGCCAAATTGCTTCTCGGTTGTCGCTGTCGAAGGTATTTTCAAAGTTGATAAAGTTGAGGTAGAGAGTTGACTGCCATTATATACTCTGTTCTATGATGATGCTCAGTGTAGCGTTGCGATTTGATCCTCACATGATTTGTACTTTCTGAATCCAGTCAGCCTGTTCCGGTCGTAGTTTTGAATCCAGCTCATCCTTAAGTCTCTCCAGGATGATGTGGCTTAGGATTTTATCTTCTTGGAGTGGACAGCAGCATGATTTCGCGCCAGTCCATGCAAAGATTTCGGTCTCCCTTCTTCGGGAGTTTGACAAGGTAGCGCTTCTTTCAATCAATCTACAGGCACCTTTTCTTCCTTCCAAACCTGCTGCAGTAGTGATGTGAGCGTGTCTGCTGTTGTCTCTGCGTCTGCTCTCAGTGCTTCTGGCGGGATTTCATCTGGTCCTGCTGCTTTTCCGCATTCAGCAGCCTTATAACGTTCACGATTTCGACTTTTGTTGGAGGATTTATGTTCACTTGTAGTTCTGTGGCTGGGCTGCAAGTGGTATTTCTGGTCAAAGTGCAGGTGATGGTTGATTCAAGAGCTTTTTGAATTGGTCAGCCCATCGTTTTCTCTGTGTCTCTTCTTTGGTAATTAAATTTCCTTCATCATCTTTTATTGGTTTCACTGTGTTTATCTCTCCCCTTCCAGATAGTAACTCAGTTATTTGATACAATGTTGTCAGGTCTCTGTCTGTCCTACCAGCAGCCTGTTCTGCTTCACTTGTCAGTGAGTCGTGGAAGTATCTTTTGTCTTTGTGCGCACTCTTCTTCACTTCTTTTACAGTGTTTTATACATTGTACTCAGTTCCTCTTCTCGTTGTGCATCCCTTCATTGTACTGGTTTATCTTCTGCTTCACCATTCTCCTCTCCCTGCTCTATAAGCTTCCATGTGTCCATCGAGATTCATTCCTTATCTTCTTTCTTCTTCTTCCTTCCTAATACGGTTATACAGGTTTTTTTCCACATAGCTTTCAAAGAGTTCCAGTGCTCATCCAACAGGTTTCTTCAGGGATGTCCCTCGATATCCCCCATTTTGTCTTGATGGCTGCCGTGAAGATGTCCTTTGTAGTTTTGTCCTTCAGTTTACGGGTGTTGAACTTAAACTGTGGTCTATCACTAACTTCTTTGAAGGCTTCCAACTTGATTTGGAAGGTTCCTTGCATTAGATAGTGAGTGGTGTGAACCTACATCTTACCCATTTCTTGATCTGATCTTGTGTCAAGTAGGCTGCGTCTCCACTTTTTTGAGATTGAGATGAAGTTCATCTGATTTTTATTATGTCCATCTGGTGAAGTCAGATCCATGTCGCTTTGTGGATATCTTTGTGCCTGAACACAGTGCCCCACTGCAACCACCAAATGGTTGAATGCATAGAGTTCCGCAAACAATTCTCCATTCTCGTTCATTTCACCAAGTGCTTCTTGACCCATGGTTAGTTCCAGTTTGGCATTCATGTCACCCATTAGAATTCTGATGTCTCCAACTAGGGTGTGGTCTTGTCCAGTGTTGATTGCAGTTGTGTGTAGAATTCCTCCTTCTTCTCTTCATCTGCATTATTTGTAGGTGCGTAGCATTGTATAATTGTGACTTTCCTTCCTTTTGAGTTGAACCTTGGTGTTATGATCGTGGAGGAGATTGGTTCCCACTGCTTTTACGCCATTCTAAGAAGTGACAGAATCACTAAGAAAAGGATCTATGGGAAATATTCCCTTTAAAAGAATTATAATCATACTAAAAGTGGTGATAGTAATTGCAAAATTGATGAAAATAACAGATGTATTCGTCCTGAAAA